TCAGAAAAGCCCCAGCTTCTTGGGGGTCAGATGGAGGAGGCAGGCACAGAGACCTCTAGGTAATACACAGTGTGTTGCAAGGGAAAGAATGCCTGGAGATGACCATGGCCTGAGTTTCCATGACGTAATTCTTTATGGGGCTAGAACACTGAGTCTTTCTCCTGCAGTGCCTCCTGCGAGAGGCAGAGGTCGCTTTTGCTGGTAAAGGAGGGGATACTGGCTGACTTCAAGGCTCTTTCTCAGGGAGAAAATTGACCTTGCCCTTAGCAACCAAATACATAACGAGGAAGCTACTAAGTCTCAGCAGAGGGCCTGGAATAGAACCGAAGCATTGGCTTCTGAGGGGATTTGATGGGCTAGGGGTCAAGGCAAAGGGGTCAGCTCCGAAAGGGGCAGTTGTGATAGATATTCTTGAAGGCTACAGGATTGTCACGGGGGCTTAATATAAAGAAGTTTTATGAAAACTAAAAACTGCTTTGGTGTGTAAAAAGTTTGGGACAGTTGTACTGAGAACTCCCCCGCCCCCCGCCCCCATCACAACAATGCACCCACTTACTTTTTGAGTGTTAAAAGGATTTTCCTATGAGAATTTCAATGCCAAACCTTACCCCATCCACCCTATAGCCCTGGTATTACCACTTCAGCAATTTTTCATTCCCCAAACTCAAAGAACATTGAAAAGGAACATGACTGGGGCCCACAAGGCCGGTCAAATTGTTATTGTTAGAAGAGTGCAGAATTCTTTGAGGAAAAGTTACAGTGATGGAACTACCACCGTCAGAAGCTGCAACCCTAGGTGGAGGATGGGGTGAGAAACAATAGCTTCACATTTTGATATTTTTACTGACTAAAGGTTTTGATGATTTTTTTAAGCAACATTTAAAAAATATATCCGTGTATAACAGAGGTCTGGGCTTGATGATCTCCTAGTTTCCTTCCAGTTCTAAGTCAGTGTAAGATCCAGAGAATCAAGTTGGAAGTCCCTCAGCCCTGGATCCGCAGCCCGGCTTCGCTAGCGGGCACAATTAGAGTGAGTTTCTTAGCCTCTCTAAGCTCCATGTCACCATCTACACAATGGGATAGCAGTACCTTCCCATCAGCGATGCTGTGAGGGATGGAACACAGCACAAGTCCGTCAATCAATGGCAATTGCAACTGGCATGAGATCATCTAAAGAACGTGGGACCGCCCGAGCCCTCCGAGTGTGCTTCCAGGGCTACTGCAGTTGGGAACAGAGAAACACGTCACACAGCTAGGAAGCCCCAAGGCAGACTGAGATTCCTGATGGGAAGGGTTAGCGCTCCGGCCCTCGGTCAGCGGGAGGAAGAAGGCAGACTCTGCAGGACTCTCCTCTTAAAGCACAGAACATTGGTTGGTTTGCTGTCGTGCTATTGTTGTGATGATAACTGTTTAGCTTACCTTTATCTGAGGACACACTATTTTGTTCTTATGCCCCACACAGCCAGATGACCCACAAAACTTGTATAGGGAGCAGACCTACCATGGCCGACAGATGGATGGCTGCCGCAGAGCAGAAGCCTGCACCTACAGACGTGCGGAGGTGGGGGCAGCTTGACCTTTTTTGATTTTGAGTCTGCATGAGGGTGTCTTTGGCTCAATTATCCTTGCTTTGTCTTGTGGAGATAGAGACATGTTAGTTCCCACTGCTGCTCCTTTAAGGAGCAGGACCGTGTGTGTGTGTGTGTGTGTGTGTGTGTGTGTGTGTATGTGTGTGTGTACAAACTCCTTCTAGTGGCCCTAGCAGGTGGCAGAGCTTGGCTCAGCGGCCCACACTGGTTTCCATCTGGGTCTCATGTGCTGAGTGTGCTTACATGGAGTGACCTCAGGCCACCCGCCTGCCCCGACCTCGCCCCCAGAACTAGCCCCACACCCAGTGCAGCGCCAACTACAGGGCTCCACAGGCTCTGAGTTCTGCCATGTTTCAGCTGGGAGCTCTGAGGAGAGGCTTGACAGAAGATAGGACGACTAGGACATCCCAGGGACTCTTTGGAGCATTCTTGATAGTCCTGAGTCTCCAAAGGTGCAGATTTCAGGCCGGAGACATCAAAGGGAAGAAAGGTGCGCCTGAATTCCATTCAATACACGAAACTGAAGTTGGTTTAGTGGGTATTTCCCTGCTTTTAGAGTTTTCTTTTTCTTCTTCTGAGCATCCCTCTTTATCTCAAACCTGCAACTTATGGATCTGATCCTTCAATACTCTGAAGAGACCTGAAAAGTAGACCCTGTTGTTATCTCAATTTTCCAGCTGAATTATCTGAGACCAGAGGTTGGATGACTTGCTCAAGGCTAACAGCTAATCAGTGATGGGGCTGGAATCCAATACCTGCCCCTTTGCTCTACGCGATCTCTAAGAGCACGGTAGGAGACTCCAGCCCAGAGCCTCCAGGTCTGGCTGTGTGGCAGGTGGCCCAGGGACACAGGGCTCTCATGGGAGACTGATGAGCTGGAGTGACCGCAAGCTGCCCTCCTGGGTGCCGGTGGTTTCCGCTCTGGGGTCCCAGTGCTCCTTTGAGCCTGGAGCAGCAAGGGGAGGGGAACGAAGGAGGCAAAGGTGCAGCGGGCAGTGGAGAGACCATTGTGATACCGTGAAGTCTTTTTTAGTTAAAAACGTGTGAAAGGAAAGGGAGGGGGAAGGAGAAGGGAAAGCTCTAAAAATAAACTTAGCAATAAACCCAGTTGTGCATTAATTACTCTGGAAGCCATTATAGCTTGAAAACCCCATAACTTTAATGGAAGCTATTATAAGCATAGTAGCAAAATTGTGAAGCTAATTACCAAGCGGTTATTAAGCAGAACAGAGCCCAGCCTTGAAGAAAGCCAGCTGGCCAGCAGGGGGCAGGTTCATAGGAACAGGGCCTGGTGGGGGAGAGAGGCTAGTACTGTACCTGCTTCAAACCTGAGGCCCTGCATGGATCTCTCTCCATAGCCTGCCACTCGGCTGGCCAGGCCGGGAGAAGTGTCGCTTGCCTGTGGTGGCTCGCACATCTCTGCAGGCTCTACTTGTCCTAGCCTGGGATTGTTTCTGAGCTCTGCTTGGGGTTTTGCAGGGGAGGATGGAATGTTGGGGGAAGAGTCAGGTGACCACAGCGGGGGGGTGGGGGGGTGGGGGTGTGTGTGGAGGACCTGGATTTTACAGGTATGGCAGGAGTCATGCGCTTTCAGGGGAAAACCAGGTGTGCCCACGTGAGACCTGGTTCAGGTCTTCTATGAGCAGTACCCACCTTATGGACACTTGTACCTGTGGTTGACCTCACTGGGGCCATCCTTTCTCCCTCAGCAGTGCAAACACAGGAGGCCTTCCCTGGCATGCTCTCGGAGGGCCTTCTTCCATTGAGACAAAGGCTACACTGTGGATGGAATGGGTGAGGTTGGTGGGGTGGGGGTGGACCCAGGACGAGAACACAGGAGGCAGGCCTCAGAAGGCAGCTGCCTGGAGAGTGGAGGAATGCACCAGCCTGGAAGATGCTCAGGCCTAGCTATAAGCACATTCCTCCTTCCTCAGCTTTTATAGGGAACACATGGGGCTGGGCTCTGAATGCCCACTGCTGCCACATAAGAAAGCGGATGCTCCGAGTGGCAGGGCTCCTTGAGGAAAAGGAAGTGTCTGGGCAGGGGACAGTGAAGGATCTGGAGGTCACACACAGGCAGAGTCCGAGCCAGCGCCCAACAGAGCAGCTTCTCAGGAACTCAATTGTGGTTTTAGGGCCACAGACGTTGGCCACAGTGGGACAGAACTATTGATAGCAATTTGACTGTGAACTTCAGGATATTTCAGGCTGAGAATGGGAACTAGTGGTGACTGGACCCAGATGGGAAGGCTCTACTGTGTCAAAGGTTGGGGTTCAGCAGGCAAGATTGGGAAGGCAGAGCTGTGGACAAGATCGCTTTTCAGACTGGTAGGTTTGAATGCAAGGAAAGGATTTCTCCTGGGCTGCATGTGTTCAAATGTAACCCAATCAATGCCCCATAGTCCTGTCCCGAGTCTCTGAAGAGGGGGCTTATTTAATTCCACTTGACAGCTATTAATTGAACAACTGCATTGAGCTTAGCACTGTGCTAACCCATTCTATGGATGGTGAGCAAGGTGCGTGTGTCGTGGGGCTGGTGTTGGTGACGGGGAGCCGGCTCCTTCTCTAGGCTTCCTTATCCAGGAAAGAAGTCAGCTGGCCCAAAGATGGAGTCAAGGTGTGATAAGTATATGGTGTTTCAGTGTGTGTGCATGCGCGTGTGTGGAGGTGTATGAATGATAGAGTGAGGTTGCACACAAGCTCAGACATCATCCAACCACTTGACCTTGGAGGAAAACAGAAGCCCCATTACCCAGTCAAATAGAGGACAATGGTAGTTGGTTAATCAAATATGTCTGTTAAAGAATATTATAAACATGACACATGCATGTGATAAATATTTCAAATAAAGCAACCGTTGAGGAGCCAGTTGTTCAACAGAGGACCTGTGCCCACGATTGACTAAGACATGATCATTTTCCTGTTGTCCAAACTTCCCATCGCTTGCCATCTCCGGAGTGTCCGGCTTTTGGAGGCAAGGCTCGGCCTCTCCCTGGTCTAGGAGTGCGCTGTCAGAAGTCCTACACTGGC